TCCTCTGTGATAATCATCCTCATTCCCATAAAGTCTAATATACACTTTACCATTTATTCTTCTTAGAAGGAATAGGTGGGGACTTTGGGAGAACCTCAAAACAGAAAACTTGCCTGTAGGGGAAAAATAATTCGGAGGGTGATGAGAGAATTAAAAAAGGAAATGACATCTGCAAAAAGGCTTTGCTTTGCTCATCAATCAGAGGGGACAGAAAGGCATGGCGGGCTCCCGCCTCTGCAGGCGCTGATGATCCAGCACATGCATTATTCCGTTCATTTGGCCGTTATCCCGCTCCCTTATTTAGCTTCTGCTCCCTTTATTTTGGCTATTTATTGCCACTTGGCGGGAGCATGGAAGGCAGAGGACGCTCAAACGGGAGCATCCTCCTGGCTGGTGACTGGTGAGGGGTACGGAGAAGAGATTTCAACGTCTAGTTAGAAATCATCGGTGGGCTTCACAGTCTCGAACGAGGGATTTCGGATGTGCATTCCAACTGGGATTTCCAGTCCCGTGGGGGAGCGAGCAGCAGCCCACATTCCTGACACATGCAGCCTCTAGGCGCCACTCGCAGGCTCCCTGGTGGCAGGTTTCACTCAGCCCCACACATCCCGCTCAGCCCTTGGTCGGGCAGGACGGACGACCCTGGGCCTCTCTCCCCACCGGATCACATGGCCTCTCTCTGCTCCCTCCCCTCCTGCTCTGGAGTCGGCCTTTTTCTGATGGTTGTAGGGATTTTTCCTAAGGTCTCCCCGTCTCTCCCCCTGCCCTGGCCTCCCAGCCAGGGGTTAGTGTCCTCTTCAGTGACAAAAGCCGCCCTAGATCTGGCTCCCCGGGGAGGGAGGTGGCTGGGTCTGGCGGTTGCAGCCGCTGTCTCTCCTTGGTGCTGCTGCAGCCCCTCCCCCACTGGGCACACAAATGGGCTTTATCCAGCAAACAAAACCACCCCCCCACCCAGGCCACACAGGCACGTGGACCCAGGCCTCACCGTGGGAAGGGGGTGGTGACAGACGCTCCAGACAAGTTCTGTTCGCCTCGCTTCTCTCCTTTTTTCCCCACAATCCAGGTTTTGATCCTCGACCCCCTCCCCTTCCACTTGCACCCTGAGTCTCCCAACTCCTCCTCGTCACCCGGCTCCTTACTCTCGACTCTTCCCATTCCAGGGCGGCCCAGATTCTGCAGCAGGTCAGCCCTCGACCACCCAGGAAGTTGCTCCCCAGAGGGGAAGCCAGCTCGGGAATGAGAACCCAGTGTCCCCCCGAGGGGGCTGGGCTGGAGCCCGCAGCCCTCCTCCCCTGCCCCCTCCCGCTCCAGGGGACACCCGTCTGAACAGTGTCCGCGTGAAAAGCCGAGGAAGGAAGAGCTCGGCCAGCAGGACTCCTGAGCCAAGGCCAGAGCGCCTGTGAAGCCTGCGGCGCCTCGGGCTGCGAGCGGGGCCATCCTGCGTGCCTAATCAGCTATTTAAGGAACTGCTGGCCAGCAACCTAGGCAGCCCCCCCTCCCCACGTACACCCGGCCAGAGCCACCTTAAAAGCGGGAGGCAACTGTGAAGTCGCTGGGCAGCAAGTGGAGTGAAGACTGCAGAGGGAGATAAAAGAGAGGGCGGCGAGAGATTTGTCCTGGGGACCCCGGACTCCACGGTCCCCTACCACAAACCGACTCCCCTCAAAGGCCGCAGAGACACAGAGACAGCAAGAGAGAAAGAGATACATACACCCAACTTCAGAAAATTCCCCCCTCTCTCTGCCCCCGTCTCCACCCACTCCCCACCCAGACCTCCAGTCCCCCACCTCCCAGTACCTTGTGCTCCTTCTGAGGATACCATGATGTTCTTCATGCTGCTGCTTGAGGTGATTTGGATCCTGGCTGCAGACGGGGGTAGGTACATCCAGAAGTCTGTGTCCCCGCTGGTGTCCACACGTCTCCGTGCATGCTAATTGGGGGAAGGAGGACTGTAAAAGGAAGCCTAGGGGTAGAAAGACGGGCTCCGGGACGGGGGTGGGGGAGAAGAGTGGGGTGGAGACCACTTTCCTTCTTTGCCCTTGGTCTTTCCGACCCTGGTTAGTGGGAATGGGGGCGAACTAGCAGCGGGGCGGGATGCGTGCCCATGCCCGGAATCTCTACGCAGGCTACAGGTTCCCTCCGGGGCCTTCCGCCACTGCCCCAGGTAGCCCTCCTGGCCTTCTTAATTTGTGATCACCCCGTTAGAGAGCCAAGGAAGCCTGGCGTGAGAGGACAGAGGACCAACGGCTGGAGGGCCCACCTCCGCCACCTGCCTACCTCAGACCCTGATCCCCGACTGGGAACCTCACGGCCCAGGTTTCCTCTTGAGCCTACGGGACGACTAATTTCCCCGTTTTTCCCTGAAAGCAGTGGCAATGACGGTCAATCTTGTTGGGCCCTCCGCAGATTACAAAGGACTTTCAGGAGCTCCCAGGAGATGAGGAGGGGCTCTGGGAAACAGGCTGAGGTGCTCCAGGGCTGTCCCCGGGACCCCAACCCCTCATTTTTGTGGTCCCTGTGCCTAGCACAGAATCCAGCACACAGTAGGTGTGTAATTAATATCTGTTGGATGAACAGGGTGAGGGGGTATCTAGAGAGCAGAAGGGGAATGCAGAGAGGATGATGGGGGTGGGGGATCCAAATGGAGAGTTACAAATTGCATTTGAGGGGGGAAAAAATAGGGACAGAGTCTTGGGGAAGAGATGCAGAATCAGTGTGCTGTGGATTGGGTGGGAGGGGCAGGGCAAGACTGTCCCTGCACAGAACCAGGGGATTCAAGGTGTCAGGGTGTCCCACTGAGCCGGGGAGTGAGAGGCTGCCTCCAGCCCTCCCTCGGGCTGCTTTTCAGAGTCGTCTGAACCAAGGGACGGGCCAGCAGAAGAGCCCAAGGTTGCAATCAAAGATATCTTAGAAGTCCGAGGAACTTAGAGAAATAAGAGAGGAAAGAATTTAGGACTTTTCTCCAAAGTTTCTAGCAATTTGAATAATGCAGAGAAAACCTGCAAGAAGGCCACCTTTTCCCCTGGGTTTGGCCGTGGGTAAGGGCTGGACCAGTAGACCCCCTGCCTTTCGGCCCCAGACAGTACTGCACGAGAGCCTGGCATGTGACCCAGCTGGCAGCTCCCTTTTCTACACACAATGCTTCGTTTTCATCCTGTCCCTACCAGCCTGGCTGCCTGTGCCCACCCACCACCCTCAACGTAGAGTGGACCCTGCCCCGACTCCCGCCTTCCGTAGCCATCTGGAAATCTAGGGAGCAGAGACTCTGGTGATGAGGAAATGTCCCTTTAGAGTCACTGGGACCGGAAGGAGGAACTTAAATGTTCATTTCCAGCTCGGTGCCTTGATTCGCAAAATGCTGCAAAGCGAAGGGATAATCGCCCTGCTCCCCTCGGCAGCTCCGCGCCCCCCACCGCTCTGAATGGCTTCCCCTCCCCGAGTTCTGTCACTTTCCTCCAAACCCTCTGCCCACACCCTCACCTCACCCCAGTCTCCTGAGTGTTAGGTTGGCTTGGCACAAGCTGGAGAAAAGTGAGGGCTGGACGCACTGCACATTTGGATCCAGGTTAATTTTAGTCCCTAGGCTTTAGCTCTTTTCATTTCTCCTCCCCCTTTTACTCAGCAAGCACAGGCCCAGCCTGGCCGGCGATTTTAAATAGGCCCCCCGACCTTTCCACCGAGGTGTCCAGTTTCAGGGCTTCCTTTGAGAAGCTGGGGCGGAGGGAGGAGAAAGCAGGAGAGGGAGGTGGGGCGGTGCGCCGAGCCTGGGGGAGGCCTCTGACCCAGGCTGCCTGGCTGCAACTCCAATTACTCTGCCGTGCAGGTCAACACCACTGGACGTACGAGGGTGAGCGCTGAACCCAAGGCCCGCCCACACCCCTTCTACACTGGGGCCTCTTCACCTGACTGGAAGATTTTTCTGTGTGCTTTTCTCTGGCTTCTCGCCCAGCCCCTCCCACCCCATCTCCCCCAGCCCTAGATTTTGCATATGTGACTCCTAGACCCAGTTCTAATGGCCAGATCCCACACCTCCTGATTGAGTAGAAAAGCCAGTGGTGTCCTCAGTCAGTCTGTGGGATGAGGGAGCTGCAGTGGAAAGGGAACTGGGTGGGAAAGGAACCGTGAGCTTAGCTCCCAATCCACCTTCTGGCTCCCCAGCCTACTCGGTCCTGCCCCCCAGCCTGCGTCTGGAATTGGGACACAGCCTGAGGTCAGCTGGCAGGAATGGTTGGTGACCCTGGGGGAAGTGGAATTCGTCTCTGAACTGCTGATTAATAACTGAATTCCGGAGTCAGCGAAAGGTCCAGGGCGAGAGCAAAAAGCAAACGAGGGAAGTCAGATCTGAATCCCAAGGCCACTTCGCAAGGGGCCCCACAGAGACCCCGCCCTCCAGGACTATTTTATTTTTCCTGCTCCTCTAATCCTCCCCTCTGGGTGTGCGGGTGTTCTCTCCGTCCCCTCTTCCTCTCACTCAGCTTTCTCCTGCTCCTCACACTACAGGTAAGTAAAAGCCACCACCCCGCATTTATCGGGGTAGGTGGCGGAGACGGCAGTGCCAGGTCCAGAAGGGACTCCTACCTCCCCCAGCCCCGCACACCTGGGTCTTCGCCTGGGTGGAGGGAAGTGCTTTTTTACCTCCACAGAGACGTCTGGGGCTGGAGGGCAGGACAAACGACCACGGTGCCCACCCCTCCAGGCCCACATGGTCAACACCACTGGCAAGCCTCTTACCCGGAGTGTGGAAGCCACGCCCAGTCCCCCATCAACATCCAGACAGACAGAGTGACTTTCGATCCAGAGTTGCCCGCTGTGCAGCCCCATGGCTATGACCAGCCTGGCCTCAAGCCTTTGGACCTGCACAATAACGGCCACACAGGTAAAGAGCTCAGGCTCCAAGGAAGTGAAAGTTCCAGTCCCGATCTTATGAGTCAGGGCTAAAACGAATCCTCCTAACTTCTAGATTCTGAGAAGCCTTCCTCTCTAATTTTGGAGATGTGAGAGGGGTTTGAGGCTACTATACAGCTAAAGATGGGAACCGAATGTCCATGAGCAGGCTCTGTGGGCGGGGCGGGCAGCATCACAGCATCCACTGGATCTTCACCGAGGATGCTGTGCTAGGAAAGCAGCGGCCTATGGGAAGAACTGGGCGCCCCTGGGGAGGAAGAAGGAAACGGCTGGCCAAGGCTCCCGCTCAGTGGTGGCAGCCGGGGTGGGGATGCGTCCACACTCCTCCACCGGCCCTGGCTTCCTCTTCTCACAGTGCAACTCTCTCTGCCCCCTTCCCTGTACCTGGAGGGGCTTCCCCGGAAGTACGTAGCTGCCCAGCTCCACCTGCACTGGGGCCAGAAAGGATCCCCGGGCGGGTCAGAGCACCAGATCAACAGTGAAGCCACAGCGGCAGAGGTACCGGGGTGAAGCTCGGACGAGGGCAGTGACAGGCACACTTGGTGCTGGGGAGAGAAAAGATCTGGACACTGGGAAAAGTCGTACTGAAGGGATTAATGCCAACCTGTGGGACAGCTTTAGGGCATGCTGGAGGTGGCGGTGGTGGTGGCCGGGGTCGAAGCCCTTGGGAGGAGGGCGTGGAGAAACTAAGTGATTGATTCCCTCTCCCCGCAGCTGCACATCGTACATTACGATTCCGAATCCTATCACGCCTTGAGTGAGGCTGCTCAGAGGCCACAGGGCCTGGCTGTCTTGGGCATCCTCATCGAGGTCAGTGTCCCCCACTCCCTCCCAGCTCCCTCTCCAGCCCCTCCGTCTCCCTCAGTCTCGTTCCGCCCATGTCTGTTGCTGGTCTCCCTCCCAAGGCAAATCAGCAACCACTCTGACCATGTATTCTCGACATGGGTGTCTTACTGCAAGCATGGACTCATGCCAAATTCTCCCCTCCCCTGCCAGGTGGGCGAGACTAAGAATCCAGCTTATGAACACATTCTGAGTCACTTGCATAAAATTAGGTATAAAGGTGAGCCCTAAAAATCTATTTTAGAACCAAGTGAAATTCAACTTTGGGGAAGCGCCTACCTCTGCCCCCCAAAAAAGACCTAAGGGGCCTGGGACGAGGGCGTTAGGGGCCAGGGAGTTTCACTTCTGGGAGGCCAGGCCTGACAAGCTGGGGTGCAGGGAGGAAGGTGGAAGGTGTCTGTCCCCCCAGGTCAGAATACCTCAGTGCCTCCCTTCGACGTGGGAGGGCTGCTCCCCCCGCTACGGGCACAGTTCTTCCGCTACAATGGCTCCCTCACCACACCCCCCTGCTACCAGAGTGTGCTCTGGACAGTCTTCAGTCGCAGGGCCCAGATTTCATTGGAACAGGTGAGTGGCGGAGAGGCGAGGCAGCAGACACACGGTTGTACCCCCCAGACCTTTTCGCACTCCCGAGTGACATTTCTCCACTAACATCCCTCTTCCACTCCGCAGCTGGAAAAGCTTCAGGAGACCCTGTTCTCCTCGGAGACCGACCCCTCCGAGCTCCTGGTGCAGAACTACCGAGCCCCCCAGCCGCTCAATCAGCGACCGGTCTTTGCCTCTTTCATCCAAGGTGACCACACAGTGATCAGAAAAGGACGTGGGAAGCTGAAGGACCCCACGACAGGAACTAGGGAGTCCCTGGGAAGGAAAAGAAGGCTAGGAGGGGAAAGGTTTCCAGCACTTGCTTGAACTGGGAGGTAGTCCCCACCCCCAAGTGGCCGGGTGACTGTCCCAGGCACAGAGGCAGTGTGCTGCCCCAGCTGGGGGTGGGGATCCAAAGTCCTACTGACCCAAGTTTTCTTCCCTTACAGCGGAATCCTTGTACACCACAGGTGAGCCAGTCCTACTCAGGAACGGGCAGGGCCGGGGGCTCCTCAGCGAGCGAGGGGAAGGCGCCATGTCTATGTCAGCCCTAGGCCGACACCTTCCGTCTTTACCTCTCCCAGGTGAGATGCTGAGCCTAGGAGTGGGAATCTTGGTCGGGTGTCTCTGCCTTCTGCTTGCTGTTTATTTCATCGCTAGGAAGATTCGGTGAGGTCCCACTTTTCACTCTTCGGGTCCGTTTTCTAATGAAAAGCATTCTCCTATTCCACCTCCCACGGCTCGCCTCGGACACGAGTCATGTCCAGGAAACCCCTCCCCCAGGAAGAAGATGCTGGGAAACCAGAAGAGTGTGGTCTTCACCTCATCACAAGCCACCGAGGCATAGACCCCCTCTCAGACATCATGGACGCCTTCCCCGCATGCCTATCAGGGAGCTTCTAGAGTGGGGTGCAGGAACTGGCCAGAAAACTCTGTAGGAGTAGCAGGCAGACACCCCTCCTTCCTCCACACGGCCCCTACAGAGAGGCATGGACAGACAGGCTCTTGTTCAAGTAACAGCCAAGCCTTCGTGCAGATCAGAAGATGCCCAGGCTGACAGTGCAGGGGGCAAACTGTGCTTAGTTGTAGAGGAAGTTGGCACTGTGCCCCACCCCCTCTCCTTTATGTCCCTTTCCCTAGATATGGACAAGATATTCCCTTAGGGAAAAGGGTTGCTGTTTGGGGGAGAGGGGGTTTATTTTTGCTCAATGTATCTGAAGATTAAAGTTTCTGACCCCACCGCTGGCCTTACCTTTGGGGCTCTTAAGAGTGGGAGTGTTCCTTAATCCCTCAGGTGGCAGAGGTGGGCAAGAGATAGGGAAAATGAAGCATTTCCCATAACTCCTTTTATCCTAATCCTAGAAGGGGAAATCCAGTTCTGGAAAATGCTTAACCTAAAGTTTCTGACATGTCAAACCAGCAGCCCAGACTTACTGCCAGGCTTGGAGGGGATCAGGTTAGGAAGAAGCGGGGACCAGAGGCATGACAGAGCAGAAATTTCAACTAACATGTTATCCCTGTCCTTAAAAGCCAAGTTCCCCCACAATTATAAAGTCCTTTTTATTAGTCAAAATCACAATCACCTTGATTAAAAGGATGGGACACACCATCCTCAGCAGAAAATGATACAGTATATAGAAAACCTTCCCACCCCACCCCCAATTAAAAACTAGAAAAAAATCTGCCCTCCTTCCCTGCGATGTCACGGTAGGCTGACTCCTCCAGTGGCACTGCAGCTCTAGAGTGGGCTAGCTCACCGAAGCACCCTCCACTTCACCTTGGGGACAGGAGGGGTGCTGGTGGTCAATAAAACATTAGTTCCAGTAATACCAGTTCCCAAACATGCACTTCCTTCCTTTCCCCCCAAGGCCTGGGGCCATGGGGAAAGGTGGATAGATATGAGCCCAGCCATGAGGAGCTATCTGAGGAGGAAAAATATAGTCCAAGGAAGTTAGGAGAAGAAGTCCAACATACTTCCTCCCTCCCCTGACTCCAAAAAAGAAAAAAAAAAAAAAAAAGGCAGTTTGGGGTCTTTATCACACCAAAAATGGCTCCCCTCAGACCTGAGTAAAAGAACAAGGTGTCCAGTCTGGGGAGGGGGTACTGGGAATCTCAGAGCTCGTCTACCCTTGAGCCGCCATTAATTTCATCTTCATGGCAACGGCTAAGCTAGGCCCCTTTTCTTGGCAACCTGCACTGTCCAGAACTGGAGATGGAGAAATACAGGGCGAGGAGATCAAGAGAGCACCCCAGGCACAGGGGTCCCCCCCAGGTTCCCTCAATCCTCGGGTGGGATGCGCAGGGCAGAATACACCATCACCTGACTGTCCTCCTGCCGGCGGCCTGCAGAGGGGAAGGGAGGTGAGTCGTGGGCAGGGTGAGAGCAGAGCACTGACACAGGAGAAGTCCTGGATAACAAGGGGGTCCCCAGAGGGTGGGGATAAGTGCAGATTCAAACCCGCCAGTCACTGACTGGCTCAACCCAGGCTGCTCCTGGTAAAGCCTAAAGGTCACCAGTGGACAAAGCAAAACCCTGGAGGTGACGGGATAGACCGACGAGGAGACAGAATGGTGAACAGTGGACCCGGGCTGGGGCTGGACTCAGTCATGGGCAGTGGGCAGACGGGTGGGATCTGTCAGGTGAGCAGTCCAGGTAGTCAGTCCTTACACGAGAGGCTGCGCTGGATACTCTGGAGGGACCCTCCGGCTGTGATGAAGGCCCAGAGCCCCATGGAGACAGTGACCGCACAGATAGGCAGCAGGCTGGCCTCGTACCACGGGTTCAGGAATGTCTGCGGATGGCGTGTAGAGTAGAAAAGGGGTTAGATTCTCCCTCTGCCTAATCCCCATAGCCTCTTTGTGCCTCTGACCCAAACGTCCCCCAGGTGTCTCTCTCAAACCCCCCAGTCCTTTCAGAGCCCCAACATCTTGTAGTCAAAGGGACCGGTGACTTTCCACTCCCTCAGAGGTTCCTGATACTCCTGCTCACCTCGGGCCACCTACATACAGTTTGACCAACCCATTCAAACTCCCCCCAGAGCAGGTGCTGAAGTGAGAGACCTCTCAAGACGCACCTTTTATCTCTTCCCAAGATAAGTTTTAAAATAAGTAGTAAGGGTATATTTCCCCTTCATCCCATTCACCGTTAAATTCTTTGCTAACTTAGGCCCCTGTCCCCAACTCACCAGTCCCGATGTCAAAAGGTGACTCCCAACCACCAGGCCCAAAGTCCAGTATCGTCTCCTCTCACAGGCATCAAAGAACACAACTCCCCAAAAGGTGTGAAGCAGGATGATGGCTGCCGTCAAAAAGGCTGCAGAGAGGGAGATGGGGAGGAGATGATGTATCCCTCACCTTCTCCCCGCCTCCTGAGATGCTGAGCCAGAACAGTCTCCCAGGGAGGGCCAATAAATCAGATCAGGGCCAAGGATGGATGGGGCACCAAGGCAAGATAGAAAGTGGATCTTACCTGAAGTCAAGAAGTAATAGGGTGAGTCTCCATGGATCCCAACCACACCTGGCCCAAGTGCATCAGCCAAAATATTGATAACAGAGAAGACACCACTGATGATACCGAAGGAAAGACCAGACACTGCGGGGAGGGAGGGTCTCATCAGTGTCAGAGATCACCACAGCCTGGTTACCAGTGATCTTCCCCAGCCCCATGCACAACTCCCCCACACCTGCTCTCCCTCCAGGCCGCCTCTCCTTGGGAGTCCGGCATGAAGGAAAACAGGTAGCCACTTAGACTATGTGGACCTTTAGAGACTTCCCCGGGAGAGGGGGTGCCAACACCCTCCTCCAGCCCTGTCCCTTAGCTCACCATAAGCCATCTGGCGGATGGAGATGGGAGATCTTCCGTCCTCACTCAGCGATGCTAACCCCTCATCTGCCTTCCTGGGGTGATGTGGGGTGGGGAAACATGAGGA